TAAATGCAAAGTTTAATGGTTTTCGAAGAACTTAATTATTTATCTTGGTATCTTTCATCAGAAGAGTTCACGAGTTCCTGTGTCAAAGAACAGGTAAAAACCCCTTAAATGAAAACTTTATTTATCGTCTATGATGATTGCTCCGACGACCAAGCGCACCGCTCACCTAATCTAGTGCGGACCCTTTCTTCGTGTTATCATCCACCATTTTAGATCGTTATGTGGATTACTGCTGCAGCTTTGGGTGCAGCACTACCGGTTCTGCTCCTGCACTTTCGGTGCAGCACTCCCGTTCCTGGTTACCGGTTACCGGTAACCCATTGCACATTATCCATTGCACATTACCCATTGCCTATTCCTGATGTTAGTTACATCTAGATGCAGGGGTGTTCGCATGGGACCGAATACTTTGCATTCCAGGATAAAAGAAAGGAAACTACCCTTGAATAGCAGACACGAATCTTTTGAAGAAGAAAGAGATTTGCCTATTTTTCCTGGTTTGGCGGTTTACCGTAATTTCCGGCCGATTACCCGCGGGTAATCTGTTAATTTTTCCACAAACAGTTGTTGGTGCGGGTTATAGGAAGGTGCAGGTAATACGATAATCTTTAAAGCTTCCGGTATAGTTTTAAAACTGTAAGCAGGAAAAAAACAGAGATGATAAGATCCATTAAAGATACTATTCAAAAAAACCTGTGTAATAACTCATTTATTTCGCGCAGATTGCTCGTCATAATAAGAGAGTTTAATGCTCTCGATGAAAGCCGATGCAAATCGAAAACATACAAAACTCGTTATCAAAGCTTTTATCTTGTTTGTACTCACCTTGTCAATTTCACAGCTTGTTTCTTTTTTAAGGGTGCGGGTTATCTGCCAGTGCGGTTAATCCGTTGAAATTTTTTTCTCGTTATTGCAAAAATTGACCCATGCGGGTAATCTGCCGTGCGGGTAAATGGACGGAAATTACAATTAATTGAGGCATTGAAGTTAGGAAAACGCCTTTCATGAAGGAAATCTAAACCGTCTATAATATGGCCATGCCATTCCTTTATTAGCTATCCTGCAGCTGATCCTTAAACCTTCTTTGTATTTGCTGATCTATTTGACATCCTTATATTTTTGGTGGTGACGGCCGCCTTAGTATAACATACCGATCATCGTCTCATAAATAATTCACCTATGTCTCAAGGCTTAGCTGTGGGTGCATTAGGTCCGTCAAGGAAATGAGGTCAATATGAACGTTCTAAAGAAAGTTTTCCATCTACTCCTCATTACATGTGCGGCAGCAATGGCTCAAGGTAAGTATTTTCTCGCTGAGCGATTAGAAAAATAACAGTGATGGCTGAGCAGCCTGTCAGAAATGTCATTTAAGAGCGAAATTAAATTCCTATAAGCACATACCGATCATCGTCCCTGATAAATAACTCACGTATGTCTATGTCTATAAAAATCAGACAAATTCTAAATTTCGCGGCAAGGGTGAAAAATTCGATTTCTCTCTTATTTTAACATTAGATAGGCTAGACTATAACTAAAATCACTAGATACTTTTTTTGGCAAAATGTCTTTTTATTTCAGAGAAAAATACAAATAAAACAATTCCGTTAAAATCGTCATTTTTAGCTACAAATTATTGCACAAGTTTGAGGGCTTCGCATTCAAAAACGAATCACAATCTCGTCTTTGACACTATTACAAAAATGTTTACAGAATAAAATATTTTGTAGGTTCCAAGAGTTCAATTCTGATAGTGCTTAATTATATGGAGTTTTGCCCTTCACCTACCCCCTAAAGTTCCTTTGTCACCGGTATTGCGTGACAACCCAAATACTCAAAGGGCGTTCATGTTTGTAGTCAACTCAGTTTAGCATTGAATGAGACTGTCAGATGTAATTTTTTAGTGCATTGTAAACTGAGCAATACTCGCAGTCAACTGAACCGTTGAATAAGATGCCACAGTGAAGAAAGATGTCGAACGTTTGACAACAAGATGATGTTCGACAGGGTTGATGGTTTCATTGGACGTTATCGCTTATACAGACCTAAATACGACGAACGACAAGAGAATCACACTAAAATGGTCTCTGGATCGGTCTTCTGCGGCAAATGAGGTCAGAGCATTTGGAAATATCTTTCTATGTAAATTTTTCGGCCTCATATGGGTTGAAACATATTAATTTTATTCACGAAGTATTTTTACTGAAGAGAAATGCATGCTTTCGAAATTAAATTATTTTAAGCGCAAAGAAGAGCGCAATGTTTACAAAAATCATTTTGTGAGGTCTTACGAGATCGAAAAAGAAGATTTGAGTGTTTAAAAGACGAGATAGTGATTCGTTTTTTGCACGCGAAGCCCTCAAACTCGTGCAATAATTTGCTGCTAAAAATGACGATTTTAACGGAATTTCGTTATTTGTATTTTTCTCTGAAATAAAAAGATATTTTGCCAAAAAAAGTATCCAGTGATTTTAGCTATAGTCTAACCTATCTAACATTAAAATAAGAAAGAAATCGAATTTTCCACCCTTGCCGCGATATGATTGATTTTTACAGACAAACGCTCTTAAGAGCGAAATTAAATTCCTTTACCACATACCGATCATCGTCTCATGAATAATTCACGTTTGTCTCTAAGCTTAGTTGTGGGTGCCTTGGACCCGTCAGTGAAAGGAGGTCAATATGAACGTTCTAAAGAAAGTTTTCCATCCACTCCTCATCATATGTGCGGCAGCAATGGCGCAATGTAAGTAATTTATTGTTTTAATTCACTGTTTATAGAAATGGGAATCTCAAACCAAAGAGTTTGGATCGAATACATTTCAAGCTGAACTTCGAGTTGAAGTTCGAGTAAGACTTCGAGTTGGACTTATCAAATTGAGAAGATAACTGAAATACATCTTTAAAAGAAAATGCAGAAACATTTATTCAAGCTATAGAGGAGAGCATCATGTTTGCAAAAGGCGACACCTTAAGTGTGCAATCACAATCTTCGATCAACCACTAAGAAAGAAGTGATGTTTACTTTCAGATTTTGTAATGTCTATAGGCGTAAGATGTTATAGCATCTTCACAAATGTATCTCATATCATTGAAGCAGCTGAGTGACACTTAATTGAATTCATAGCTGTAGGCCATCAACAAACACCCGCCATGTTGGATAGAACCAACTTTACTGAAATATCATGTAATACATGGTAGGTTCGCACCGCGTGTGGAGGGACAGATACTACATCCCTCACAAACTAACAAAAGCTCTGAACTCTTACAATGTTAAAAAAAAACTAAAATCAACTGTCCATTAATATCGTATTAAGTTAACACCTAATCCTTAAAGTATGGTGGCTCGTGCTTTTCCCATCTGGGTCTAGTTACTGCTGGTTGGTTCACTGGTTGGTCATGTTCTGCTCCTTGTGTTAGTTCAACTTCCAGTTCTGGTGGTATCTCTGCATTGGGTGGTTCTGCTGATGTCTCTGCAGTGACCGTTGTCTGATTGGGTGGTACACAGATTTGAGTTCCCTTTTCTGGAATTTCAAGGTCTAGAAGTATCTGTGGTGGTTGTGTTCCCTCATTTACCTCCTCTTGATGTGGTGCTCCAACTCTGCAACATGACGCATAATGATTGTACTTGCCACACTTTAAACACTGTTTTCTGTATGTTGGGCAGTTTCGGCCCGGGGAATGTGTTCCTGTTTTTCCACAGTAACCACAACTCTTGCTTTTCTCTTTCTGTGCTTTGTGTTCTTGTTTTCTGGGAGGTCGCAGTGGTTTCCTTGATTTTCTTCTTTCACCCCACTTGCCTTGTCTAGTTTCCTTTTCAGCTTCTTTTAATCGTGGTCCCCGTCCACCAGCGCTGTATCTGGTAAGTTGCAAGTTTCTTGATTTCTTTGCCGCCATAAATCTTCAGGGCACTCATGCGGTCCCTTGTTTCTTTAATTTCAAAATACAATGTTTCTTCTTCGAAGTCCTCCATCCACTCTTTCCATGCTCGCCCAATTTTCAAGAGGTTTTCCAGGAAAATTTTTCTTTTTCTTTTTCTTTTTCTGGAGAAGTCACAAACCAGACTGAACAATTCCTTGAGCTGTTAAGCCTGACTTTGAACTTTTTTGTGCCTTAAAGATGTAAAAATATCATTGATATTAATATTTTGATCATACGTGGTTGTTTTGACCGAACACACAATGTTACTTGCAGTGTTTTAATAAATTATTTTTGCACTTGATGCATGCGCTTTGCTTCTGCATTATTTTGATAACCTATCTCTTATTTTTTCATGTATATTATTAATATGTAATCACATGATTTTCTCATGCTATTTGGAATAAATAGGCACTTGTAAATTTTTTCAAATATTACCACAAATTGCACTCACCCTATGGACTTGTGCAATTTTGTCAGTCTTTGAAAAAATTGACCTGTGCTTATTTATTCCAAATTGCATTCGAAATCATGTGATTACCTATACTAATATGTGTAATATATCAATGTAAATTACCAAGACAGATCTAAGCACTTTGGCTTAACTCTTTAGCCCCTAAGAGTGACCAGTGTCTAATTTCTCCTTACTATTTCACCCCTGAATCAAACATGAAAGTTATGAGAATAGAGGAAATGATCACCAACTAAAGCAGCTCTTGACTGTTACACAAATTCTCCCTGTCAGTCTCTCTGTGAGTGTATGTAGAACAGTGTGGAGAATATGCATACTGATGTTAGGGGGTGAAGGGTTAATACTTTACATATCAAGGAGAGACAGCATAGGTTAAGTCACATTGTGTGTTACATCTTTGGAAGGTATGAGTAAAAATCCATTACAGCTTCAAATTAACATCTGTCATCCCATGCAGAATAGTGCATCAATCTCTCATATGTACGTGTTTTTTTTTGGCATCCTTACAATGTTGGATCTCTTTCTTAGGAGGAGGTGCTTTACATATTAGATATTAGTATATGAGCATTTTCGGAGGTTTAATGGATATAAAATTGTCCTTTTTTTCTTTTAGGGGAACCACAATTTGGAATTGTGCAACCTTTTCCAGAGAACATCTACTCCCTTGAGTACACCTCAGCCAATGTTACTTGTATTGCATTTGATGCAACTGGTAAACAAGAACCAAAACATATAACGTTTTATAGAAGAGATGACCTTAGTCAATATAGAGAAGTAACAGGTGATAAGTACTTGTTCTCAAACAGAACAGAATATGTAGGTGAGTACATATTTGTATTACAGTTAATGCATCTAGCACCTAAAAAAGAAAACAACAACCTCTAAATCTCAAACTTTACTCCCAAAACAGGATTCTTAAACTTTTGTGCTTATTGTGTTATAAGTCACAATGGTGGAATTCTGTTTGAGGCGAGGGTGATATGAGAATTTATCAACAATGGTGAGGCATGATTTGCCTCCTGAAATATACAGGAGTGTTCTTTCAGTTCGTGAAAACTTCAAGATTTTCCTGAAACCTCTCACACAGAAAGAGAGATTTGAAGTTTTCATTTTCATATATGTGATGCATTAATTTTTCTTAAATTTGTGCCTGAAACTGAATCAGAACCCCCCTTCCCCTGCCCTTATTGCTACCCTCAGCCCTGGACCAAGCCAGTGATGTCCTTCTCTCCCTGCTAACAAGTAAAGTGTTTTCTTTGTAGGTGGAATAAAAAAATTATACACCACCATAACTTGGAAGAATTTAACAATTCAAGATGACAGTCAGTACAGTCAGCTTGGAAGCTATGAGTGCCATGCTTTTGCAGTGAATGAAAGTGTAAATGCAAAGAGGCATGGCTTTAGTGTCAGTGTTATTACAAGTAAGTCTGTTTACATTTCACAGGGAGTTTCGTTACCTCATAGTCTCACAGTAAAAATAAGTGTATTTGTCTAGTCTATTTATCCTTTCAGTCAAGGAGTTTTGATGATGAGTTGTAATGATAAACTGTCAGGAAATGAGGGGAATACTAGGAAGGGGGGGGGGGTAACTCTTCCAAAGACTTGCAAATTATTGAAGGGGAAGTAGCATGACTGCTTTTTGCTTTTTGAATAGGATGGGCAGTAACAGTGTGGCTACTTACAATAGCTCAAAGTCTGTGAACTTCCAGCATACATGTAGTGTAAGTGGTTAATGATCATCAAGATTTATGCCCCCATCTGAAATTGTAAAGTAGCTATTTTTACATAACGATTCACAGGTACAGAAGCAAAGTACCTCTATAAACCATCTCCACTCCAACAGAGAAAAAAATGTATTACTAATAAACAGAAAAATCCACCCACCCTGTTACTTGAGCACTATAAACAAGATGGCTAATAAACCTTGCTTAATGGTTTACACATTTTTGCATTTCAGGAAGTGAAATCCCAACGGTGTATGTCCCAGACTCCAATGTACTTAATCATGGTGATAACATCTTAATCTTCTGCAACCTCACTGAAAGAGGAAATGAATACAGCACCCCACTGAAGAGGATTTCCTGGTATAAGGATGGGAGGTTGTTGGAGAGTGTGCGGCATCCAGATCCAGATGCAAAGGATCCACTGGATTTTTTAGGCCCACTGAATCTTACAAATGTTGGTGTCCAAGATGGGGGAAAATACACATGTCGTTTGGTAGTAATGTTAAGGCTCATCAAGGAGTACATTGTTGAAGATACAACAGTAATAAAGAGTAAGTACAATACACAATTGTGCTGATAGAAACGTTTTTTGTTTGAAGAAATTCTCTTTAAAAAGCTACAGCGGTTGTTCATTATGTAGGGGTACTTAAGAACCTTGGGCACACTGCTCAAAAGTCCAGTCAATAAAACCCTTTCACTCCCAAGATCTCATTAGTAATTCTCATCACTGTCTGTAATTAATTTTTTATAGTGTTATTTCAGTTAATTTGATATTTTATCAACTAAAATCCCCTAACTGAAATATTTCTGTATTCTCATTACCTGTCTGCCTCATACTTTATTGATTATGCAATAAGAAAGGCTGTCTTGGTCACTTGCGGGCAGACAAGTGATGTGATTGAAGGTAACTATCAATTGGGGGGTTATCAGTTGATCCAATACTAAATTCTCCATATTTACATCATAAGAATTGTATGGCAGACAGTCAGGAGAATTTAAGAACCTACAGGGCCCATCATTCAAAAGTCCAGGTAACTCAAAGGGGCCCAAAGCCAAATTTTAAAATTTGAATAGAAAGACTACAGTGTAGAAGGGTAAATGTCAACTCAAAAACCAGACCTTTCTTTTTCTTTTGTTTTTATCTCCATTGTTTTCAGTTTCAATACCTGAGTGTATAAACTGTAGCTTGATCTTGAAAGTAAAAGCTGCAAACAAAAGTTGGGCCGATGTTGTTGTTGTTGTTGTTGTTTTTTCAATATTGTCTACTTTTGCTGACAAGCTGGCTGGCATTCATTCACTCTTGCAACATTCTGACCACCAAAAGCCATACCATATAAAAAAATTGTAATACCAAAGGATGAACACACAGTTTCATATTCCTGGAAATGCCACAATCTGATCAGTAATGTAAATCTCTTATTTTTCTGTCTTACTTGTCCCCATTAGCTAGTTGAGAGAATTTGTTGATATATGTGAGTGAAAAAAAGCACTTAAGCTGATAAGTTGATGTTGACAAACCTAGTTAACTTAGGATTTTTCCTTGTTGAACGCTTGTGACAAGATTAAAAAAACATCTTTCTTGAAGGTTATGTACTCTTTCAAGTACATACTGTAAGGGAGGTATTTTGTCATTTTTGACATTTTTCTTTGGTGCATGAGAGAGAGTTAATTCAGTTTCAGAGATCAGAGAATTTTTAGGTCGCTGCGCATAGTTTCCAGGTGAGATTTCAATGACCCAAGCTACAATATTCTTGTATTCTTATTGAGGAGTGGCAAATCTTTTCTGTCTTTTTTTTAGTGGGCAAAGAGAGTGGTTAACATACATGTACAGTACAAAGTGCATGTTGTATCATAATTCAAAGATTGCATTTATTTATGTATTTGCACACTTCAAGTGTTTTACTGGGTCATTGCCTGTGTGAAATATTCTAGTTGCTCCCAGGCTTGCAAAGCCAAAGGAAGACATTGAAAAGGTGGCATTCAAAGGAGACGATGTATCATTTGAGTGTGCTGCAAAAGGATATCCTTTAGAGGTGGAATGGAAAGTGAAGAAGAAGAATGAAGAAACTGTTGAGGCTTGTATAAGTAAGTTTTGTAGAATGATACTCCTTTTATTCAGGGCCCCTAAAAAAGTGACGTTTTCCTTGATTAATCATCAACTGCCCTTATTTAACAATAATTTGCCAAAGGGCAAGAGAATGTGATGGAATAATCCGCTCAAAAAGTATTCTATTGCTTTTTAACACTTCCTTGGAAACATTGACAAAAAGTGAGCTGATTGTCGCAAGATGTGAGCAATTCTCAACCAATCAGAGCATGCACATCTCTATAATCACCAGAGCAATTATACTGTCAATTAGTAACATATACTGAAACAGTTAATATCAGTGAAGTGGTGTTCTGATTGGCTACTCAAACTCAGAATATCATTTGTTATTCATCCTGAGCAACTTGCATGGAATTTTTTCCAAAAATATTGTAATTGTTACAGGAATAAATAAGTTGCGAGGATCTTTTAAATTCGTTTCTTCACCGCAGTGCAAATATATGAATTCCATATATCATATAGATCCCGTACGGGCTTGATTTTTTTCAGGTCGTATATGTTTTCAACTACTAATTCAGTAGTGTTCTTAGCTGCGAGGATCTCTTAAATTTGTTTCTTCACCGTAGTGCAAATATATGCATTTCACATATATAAAATCATTATTCATCACTTTGATGGTTTATTTGGACCCAACATATTGACCAGCTCCCAGTTAGCTTGTGAGCTCAGTTGGTAGAGCGCTGCACCGGTATCGCAGAGGTCATGGGTTCAAATCCCGTACGGGCCTGAATTTTATTCAGGTCCTATTTTCAACTACTAGTTCAGTAGTGTTCTTAGCTGCGAGGATCTCTTAAATTCGAAGTTTAGGTCATCTTTCTGTGCTATATTGTCTTGAGCACTGTTTTAGTCGATAATAAAGCAATATTAGCCTGGATATTGGATATTAACTTCGCCACTTTGCAGCTTGGTGAATATCAACTACCAGCTAACTTCACTTCGGCAAATAGGTGTTAGTTAATTAATTTTTGTGGTCTTTTAATGACCAAATAGGCAAATGATCTGTTCTTGACGTATTAACTCTTTCTTGTTCTACCTTTCTCGATAGATGGATCAGGCGGACACTACAAGATCGATCAAGCCAGCATGTATGACCCTTATATTCTGACCATATCTGAACTGGAGTATAGCGACCGTGGATTTTATTACTGTTGTCTTCCTTCAAACTGCTCCGAAAATGTAGAAGATAAGTGCCAGCGATTTATTCTTCGTGTCAGAGGTGAGGCTGTACATAACATTAGGAAGACGGCCTATCTTGAACGAAAACATAATCTTCCCTGTATAAATTGAGAATTTTTAACTGCTTGAATATCGGTTCATCATGAGCGTTAAAGGTACCTCTTGATATAATCTGGTCCTTAGGTCTCCTTGACTACACTGACGTTAAGGCTGGGTGAAGAGGTAAACTCGGTGAAAACATAAACAAAAACAAAATCAAATGTGGATTATAACAGCTAAAAAAGGGGTTTCCCATCTAGGGCAAAAGAGCTACGTTTGTGACTTAATCCAACGATGTCGAATGCTATCGATCGTAAATGGGATCCAACAGACGTACAAAATCTCGCCATCTCGAACAGAAGTTGAGACCGTGTACACCTGTGAAGAACTGTCCTAACTGGGTCTTAAACAAAACCAAGAGCTTATAAATTTTACAATTTCTAAACAAAACCAAATTTGATGTAAGGCTGATTTCGGAATATATGTGGTTCACTAGATGCAGTATCGGTTTGATCATAAAGTCTTCTACAACAGTCCTTAGTTTTCTGAGCTACTGTCAGCTTCCTATTTTATCGCTGGCGAGTTTTTAATTACTCGCTAAATAGTTTCCTTTTTTTTAGCAAGCAAGTTACGATCATTCTCGCAAGCGATTTTCTACAAAATCTCACTCTATCTCACTCTAAGTCTCAGGCTACAATGACTCGCCTTAAAACTGCCTAGAGACAGATGAATATAATTTGTCTCGTGTATTATTTTTTATCTTTTCTTTTCATTTAATTCTTTATTGTTCCATTTTAACCATTTGCCTTTTTTCCCAAGGTGATTTTGATCAGATTGCTGGGACGACACTTGTGGTCTTGCATGACGTGTTTCTCATCTTGGCTGTCTCAGTCGTGCTACTTTTATTGTAGAATCTTAGTTAATTGTTAGCCAGTTCCACTACCATCGAATTAGTTTATAGCGGAGCTCGCAGAGCATAGCTCCATAATTATAAAAATAGTAGTAACCCATCAAGCCGAAAAAATTAAGATGTACGACCGTACGACCGTACAAGGTGCTACTTTTAACATGCGTGGTCAACTGTTCCGCGGGCACGTCAACGCCACAGCTTTGTCCAGTGGTCAGTGCACTGGGCTCCGAGTCGGACGACCCGGACTCTAGTCCTGGCCGGGGCAAGGCGTTGTGTCCTTGAGACGTGCGGAAAAAAAAATGCGAGTTCCGCTTTCAGGCTTGGCTAAATCTATATATTTGTGTTAAAAGACAAAATTGGCATCTAACAAGAATTTTCATCATGGGTGGTTTTTGACTTATTTGAACGTGCAAATAAATGGAAATAATATCAGCATAAGCCATTCAGTAAACATTGTAATAGGCCAGTTGATCAATTCATATTCTTTTTGGCGGTCTTACCTTACAGGTAGAGTTTGGTCACCTTTTTAGTTATTATAATCGTGAATTTAACATGGAGACAGATGTTTTTGCATAAACTGCGGTTTGCGGCTAGATATCAGTATATTAATTATTTTCCATTATGTTGCTAAAAGATGATTAATTACTAAGAAAATGAGTCTACCTTATAAAAATTGATCCCGTGCAGAAATTTCCTGGAAGTAACCCTTCTTTATACTTTCACCCATTTAACACTCTCGTTTTTAGGCTAAATCCATGTCGAATCCTCGATCCGGAGAACAGTTTTTAAATTTGAATTTAGCACGTTCGACACCTCTTTTTCTTAGGGGTGACTTAAGGTATAAACATGTAGTACTTTTCATCTTCCGCACTGAATTTTTAATCAGATAACTTCTACGGCTTGCACGTAGCTCTTTTAGGGGCGGTACCTTGGGTACGCCCCTTCTTTTCCGAATTTTCTGTTTATTCTGCCGATATGTAGCAGTCTTCAAGGAATGAAAACTCTTTTATCATTTACTGCTTACAGCCTTCAATATTATATTCTCTCTTATGTTTGCGCATAGCAAACAACAAATAATACCTTGGTTGTGCCAATTAGTTAAATTATGAGAAATGATGTAACACAAAGAGAGTTCTATTTTATTCTGAAAGTACATTAAACACGAAAGTTTTCTACGAAAATTGTATCTGTGAATTTTAACTACAACTTTGGTATAGTTAATTCCACTCTAAATATTCCTCATCTTTGTACACCTTTTGCTGTTCATTTCGAGAAAGTACGCATTCATTTGCGTTAAGGGGCGAACAATTGCGTGGAAATACAATCATAAGAGACAAAAAACCATCATTTGCACGTAAATCAGATTCATTAACGATTTTTGCATTTTAATCAGCATTCAATAACAATTTTAGGCATTCTTAGGCGTCATTCGTCAAACAAAAGAGAAAAATATACTTTCATTTGCGCTAAGATTCAAGTCATTTACACCATCTTGAGAGTCAATAGAGACAATACATAATCAATATAGTGCGTAACACCATTCATTAACATTTTTATTACACTGTTTGCAAGTCAATAGCATTCCTGGACGGCATTGGTATGAATAAGACAATCACTTATGCGCTTGTACAAACAATTAAGCTTTTTTTATTTTCAATATTCAAACATCGAATTCCAATTGAAAAATACCTATTCCAAAATTATCTTGTTTTGAATTTCAGTTTACCCTTCAATAATCTGTCTATTCAAACATTTTGGCAGATAGGTCTGCATAAAGCGGTACCATTGCGCACTTTTAGCCGCGGTCACAGTGTCGATGTTTCTGTGCAGAGCTTCAAGCAGTTGTTGTGCTCGAAACTCCCTCAGTGGGATTCCTCCGGCTCTGGCCACATCTCTGTTATCCATGCGTCTTTGAATTTCCGGACGCGAGATGTCAGCCTTGATCGCCGCTTTCAGACAGCTTATTGCCTGCTCCATGATGTTTAGGAGAGGACTGTAGGGAGGAAGCATTTTAAGCTCTGTGTTTGGGGCGGGAATGACCGGGTTTCGGTGGGCCGGTGCTCCATCATACACAAAGATAGCCTCCTCGTCGGGATCTAGATTTGTCCTCGCCTGTGCCAGGAAGTTATCGAAACGCGTAGCATTCCTTCCGCCAAGAGCTGCTGAGGAAAACACAAGTCCATTGATTGGCGAAATTGCCATTGCTACTGTCAAGTTTCGTCCTCGCTGGCACACTTGACGGTACGCCCTCTCTCCCCGCCGCGCTCTACCGTGGCTTCTGGCCGTCCAGATGTTGTAGCCGCATTCGTCGACAAACACACAGTGGCGCACTACGGTATGGTTCATAAACCAGGTGGCGTAATCCACTCTCTTGGTCATTACATCAGGTCCCAGTTGTTCAAAGGCTAATTAGCACTAACCCAGGGTTAAATTTTAATCCAGGTTTCTATATTTCTCTGTTCAAAAGCCATTTTGGAATAATTTTACCCATTGTTTTAGAGCATTCAATTATCAAATTGTAGTCAAAAAGAAATAAACTGAATTTGCTCTTCAAACTTTCAGATCTGAAATAAAATTTCACTCTAACGCCAGGTTATCTTTATCCAGCTTTGAACAACTCGGCCTAGGTCTGTTTCTGTCCGCAGGGAGGGGCCTTGCAAGTTTCACTCGGAAAAGCATCCCGTCTAATGTCGTTGCCACGGTGCGGTCATGGATCTGAGGTTTTAGTGGTTGCCGTCTCCTCAGTTCACTGTTTATCCGAGCAAGTGTGAGTAAAACAGTTTTCGTTTATGATTTCTTCTAGGCAATCTCTCATCTCTTCGTCTCCACGCGCAAGTTGTTTCTACCTCCTCGTGGTCTTTCCTGGATCCTGCCCTCCCTGATGTAGCGCGCCACAATGCCTCTTGCCGTTGATCGGTTCACTCCGAGTGTGTCCGCGACCCCAAGATAATCTTCCTCCTCGTCCTCAAATCCTCTCACGATTCTCTCTCTGATCTGTAATTACACAAGTTATTACAACGGGGACTAGCTCTGATCTCTCTTGGAAAGTGTGGGTTACCGCTTATAAAGGTGACGTTTACTGAGCTGTCAATCTCTAACCTTCGTCATGCTTTTACAATAACTAACGAATCACGCTAAACTACGCAGAGCGGAGTTCGTATACTAAGTAGATACCTTCGCGATGTTTACGCTTTACAAAATGACTTTCTACATTAAATTTCTTAGTCTTACGGCCAAGGTAAAGCGAAACAAAAACAAGATTGACAACAAAAAAATTATCATAAAATTACTAACAGAATTAAAATCATACTTGAAAATGTTATTCACCAGCTTAGGGCGGTCCGCACTGGGAAAAACTGTGCCCTCTGTCTTGGTTCTGAGAGCTTACTCGTTTTACGTCTTCGGAGCCGAGAAATGTCAAGAGATAATGATCACGCCGTTCAACCTTCCTCTTTCCCCTTCACTTGTTCTCTTTGTCCGAATTGAAAGTCCCTATAAATGCAACGTTTAATACTTTTCGAAGAACTTAATTATTCATCTCAGTATCTTTCATCAGAAGAGTTTATGAGTTCCTGTGTCAAAGAACAGGTAAACACCCCTTAAATGAAAACTTTATTTATCGTCCATGATGATTGCTCCGACGACCGAGCGCGCCGCTCGCCTAATCTAGTGCGGACCCTTTTTTCGTGTTATTATACACCATTTTAAATCGTTATGTGGATTACTGCTGCAGCTTTGGGTGCAGTACTCCCGGTTCTGCTCCTGCACTTTCGGTGCAGCACTCCCGTTCCCGGTTACCGGTTACCGGTCACCCATTGCACATTACCCATTGCCCATTCCTGATGTTAGTTACATTCAGATGCATGGGTGTTCGCATGGGTCCGAATACTTTGCACTCCAGGAGCTACAGTGTCTCAGCTAACATTGTAATTCCCGGTAAGTAAAGTACATAAGCGTATTGTATAAGTATTAGCAGCTTGCCAATACTTACGTATGGCCAGTCCTTTGCGTATATCGAAACGTATCATATTGATCTCAATTGGGCTACCCTCCCAGGCAATAAATAAAGACCGGTTCCTTTGTCTATTTTTTAGTGTTTATTTGTTTATTTTGCCATTTTGCAATTTTAATACAGCGTATAAATAAAGGGAACTTCATATAAATGGATATAATGTGACTGAAAATTCAACACGTGGCGAGGAAACCCGTAGAGAAACCAAGAGGCTTAAGTAAGCTACACGCTCCTGTTATTTTATAAAGTAAGATGACAGTAATACGAAGTAATTTAGGTACAAAATATTCTAGGTTAAAAAGGAAAGAACATACACTTACACGAAACAACAACAACAATAGCAGACACGGAAACAAACATATTCTCAAGCAGCTTGAGAAAAGTAAGAGAAAAGGAAGATCGAAGGGAGACAACTTAGGAGAAATATTCGCAATTTAGACTTAAGAGGGAAAGGGCCCCAGCATTTTGGATTTCTATATTGAAAAATTTAGGACCTTGGGAACATAACACAAGTTGTCTAACATTTGTTCTACGAAGGAGTATGTAATAGGAATTGCATCGCCTGGTGTAATAGAAATGAATGCTACTCGACAACGATAATAATATTTCATAGAATCAGGAAGACGGCCTGTCTTGAACGAAAACATAATCTTTCCTATTTGAAATAGATATTTGTTTTATAGATTAAGAATTTTAACTAGTTGAATATAAGTTCATTATGAGCGTTTAGGGTAAAAACTTTCTTTATTGTGTCTTAAACAAAACCAAGAGACTATAAATTTTATTATTTCTAAACAAAACCGAATTTGATGTAAAGGTGATTTCTGAATATGAGCAGTTCACTAGACGCAATATTGGTTTGTTCATAGCCTTTTACAGCAGTCCCTAATTTTCTGGGTTGCTGTCAGCTTCCTATTTTCTTAATGGCGAGTCTTAAATTACTTGCCAGAGGGTTTCTCCCTTCTCGCTAGCTAGTTTCCAATTTTTTTAGAGACAGAGGAATATAATTCGTTACATGCATTGTCTGTTATTCTCTCTTTTAATTTAATTTTATGTTCCTCCATTTTAACCATTTACCTTTTTTTCCAAGGTGATTTTGATCAGATGGCTGGGACGATACCTGTGGTCTTGCATGACGTATTCCTCATCTTGGCTGTCTCTGTCATGCTGCTTTTATCTCTGTAGAATCATCGTTAGTTTCTAGCAACGAAGTCAGACATTTCGGCAGAGTGACGCGAAATAAAGCGACAAGAAACAACAAAAACTTGAAAGCTGCCTTCCTTTTCCCTTCGTCTTCTCGTTAGTTTATATTTCAGTAAACCTAAAAACAGATTAAATTACAGCGGAACCACAACAGCCCGCTTAAAGCCATAGACAATGATGTCATTTATTCTTTTTTCGGAAAAAAAAATCAACAGAAATTACCTTAGAAAGTTAATCGCTTCATGTGAGACATAGGGCTTTGCTGCAACGTCCGGTACATAATATTTTCTTTGTAGCGAACAGAAACTCTACATCGGAAAGAGCAATCGGGAACTGTACTGAGCAAGTTTTTT